GGGGGGGGGGGGGGGGGGGGGGGACTCTGCATATAAAAGGCGTAGCAGTGAAGGTCTCGTTTGGGCTGCACGCGAAAAAATATAAAAACATACATATTGTCTGTGTTTTAACATGGTCTCTTTTAGGGGTCAAAAAGGCTGGGGCCACGCCCAGATCGGTCTCTTTTAGGGGTTTAATTCAAAATTTCCGACGAGCATCCCACCCCTTTTATATGCGGAGCCTCCCCGGATATGTTGGCTGCCATACACAGTGTTTTAGCATCTTTCATCAGTGCTTCATTGAACGAATTATCAAGAGTTGTCCTCTTCAATTTTTATACACTATATATGGCTAGAAAAAAATAAACCGACAACGTCCTAAACTTTGAGTTAATGCATTTGTATATCGTCCTTTTCAAAGAATTTGGTTGGTTCCTAGTGACAGGTTAATGTAACAAACATTAACATAAACATAAACTATTGAGGTGGGCGTTCTTTTTCCACCGAAAACATTGGGAAAACGTTTTCTCCGACACGTAGGCTCTTACCGTGTACGTGACATTCTTCAAGAGCTGAGAAAGACGTCACGAACCGACTAATCGCCTCCTATAGTTAAAGCCGGATATAACTAGTCTGGACTCTGGAATAGCTTACTAGGGATTTTTTCTGGCCTAGGCTAGAGTCACTCTAGAATAAATGGGTTTACTTAATGAATCTGAACAGGTTATTGTATTGGATTTACAGGGGCTGGGCCAGGATTCAGGTGACACAGAAAAAACACCTTACAGTATCTCCCTAAGGGAATGATGTAGACTTGAAGTGAGAGATATTTCTGAAAAGAGGAGCCTCTCCTGAAAATAATTCTCGACTTTCCTGCTGGCCTAGGTTTAGTTAACCCAAGCAGAATGTCCCTTTATGGCATCTACAGTATTTCGCTTCAGATTAAAAGAAGTCCAGTAGGGAAACGTCCTTTTCACTTCTATAGATCTTAATGAATTCGAGCCCGACCTGTTGTCCCCGCTTCGTGGCGCGAGTGTGTTAAAGAAAAACAAGAAGAAACGAGAACAGACTATTCAGACTATTCGGCGAGAAAGACGACAGTATTTCTTAAGAATATCATTCCTTCTTAGCTTTGTCGCTGTCCTTCTTACAGCACAAACGACGTATGCAGTGACATGCCAACCTTATCACCGTGACAGCCAAGGTTATCATAGCAACAAGGAAAGCTATGACGTCAAGTAGGTAGTACTGATACCAAGGGATGTTAAACACTTGAGCCCTGAGATGACGAGCTCCACCATGTCTGAGTACATACTCTATCCAGTCAGCAGTTTCTTGAAGAGGAGCGCGTCGGCGATCTTTTAACAGACTGGAGATGTGCATTGCATTGGATTTAAATCTAAAAGGACAAAACAGACAGATGGATTCATTTGTATGTTAACATTCAAACGAGAGGGGGAAACTGGAGCCAAAATGCGTCCCGCAATTGCTTCTGGGATCGTTACTGGGGACGCGCCAGTCAGCTATTGGTCAATGTTTTTCCCTGTTCCCTACAACAGTCCCAGAAGTCTTTGCGAAAGTTAATTCGGCCCAGTTTTTGTCTCGTTTCTTATGTGGCGAATGTTTAATGAAATTCAGGTTACTTTAATCTAGAAACGTGAGGCCCGTTCAAAAACTACAACAAGAAGAGCAATGAGTCGCGTCATTGTGCAGGCGACTTCAAATCCTAGCCCAGGAGCCAGTGAGAAACACTCGAATTAGAGTCTAAAGATGTAGTGGAACTAATCGAGGATTAAAAACAATCCTTGGATTGGTATGAACAAAGCGAAGGTCGGCGGACGCAAGGGAAATGCTGGTATGAACAAAAGACGAGAGAAGGAATATTGCGCCAAATTTTTGACCCCGTAAAGGATGAAAAGAAAAGTACGGATATTAAAATCAACGCTAATCAACAGTATAGAGCCATGTCACATGGCGTCCCGTTCTCTATGTTGGTCTCCCAAAAGAGAGCGGCCATGTAGGAGTTGCAAACTAGTCCTGTGGAAGTTGAACTCTTTTTCTCATGTAAACACTTTCTTTTGTCGCAATACATTTGCATAGACAATAACCACATGAGTGAAAACACCCTGTTATCAATTTTCTACTTGTTGCTATACTTTGCATCCCCTTTTTTTCAAATGCTCTTACGTGAAGTTCCCCTGCAGGGGCGGATCCAGGATTTTTTTTAGGAGGGGGTGCACTCGTCTCATACTCTACGTCAACACCAATAAACCACATTTTTTTTACAGAATACCAGTTGTATTAGAAAGCCACAGGTCATCTTAGGGGGGGTGCGCACCCCCTGCACCCTCCCCCTAGATCCGCCCCTGCCCTGTATAAAAGCTCCTTTGGCTTTACATTCTTGGTAAACTTAATGGGAGAAAAGAAAAACGACAAAATACCGTGGTTCAGAAACAACAGTTTCAATCGTTTCAACCACCTGCTGCACGCTAGTAGTTCGGTGATGCACAGATAAACCAAGACCAAGATGAGATATTTTCTTTGCATTGGAGTACTGGTCTCCAAACAAAGGAAACGCCACCACAGGAACCCCATGATACGCCGACTCGTAAAGACTATTGTGCCCTACATGAGACACAAACGCCTTAATGTTCTTGTGACCCAGAAGATCATTCTGAGGTAACCACTCCAGTGCTTTGATGTTTGGGCTCAGGGAAGAAGGTATGTAACCTGGAAAAGAATAGAGTCATCCTGATTTGATTCGGAAATCAAGGTTGAAGGAGTTAGTTTCTAAACACCGTTATCGTTGTGTACTAGGGCTGAGGTTTGTAAGGTGCAGAGGAGATGCAAAGAAACTCTTGAAAGCGTGACGTGTCGAACGCTAGCCCCTCAATTTGTCTAGTACTACGTACCGACTTGCAGTAATGACTTTCAGCGCACTGACCTTGCAATCACCTATTAAATCATTACTTTCTCTACCATATTCTACACCTCATCACGTGAAGTCTCACGTGAGGAGAGCAAGGGATGGCGTAGTAGTGAGAGCACTGGCGCCTCCCACCAATGTGGCCCGAGTTCAAATCCCGGCGTTGACGCCATTCGCCATTTGGTTGAGTTTGTTGTTAGTTCTCTCCTTTGCTCCGATAGGTTTTGGTCCGGCTATTCCGGTTTTCACCTCCCTTGAAAAACCAACATTTCCAAATTCCAAGTCGACCAGGAATCAGGTAGGCGAAGAACTACTTTGTGGATGTGCTACCTCCAAATCATCATCATCATCATCATCATCATTATTATTATTACTATTATTATTATTATTATTATTATTATTATTATTATTATTATTAAATCCTGCCCGTTGACTAAGCCCCAGTTTACAAAAAGTTACAAACTATATATATGACGTCATTCCATGATTACCTCTGACTTTCCAAATAACTCTTTGTTTCAACTTTCCAAATGCTTCAGCGAGCATATCCACCTCTGCTTTGGGAAGAGAAGCCACGTTGGTTCCAAAGGAAACGATAATGAAGCCACGCTCTCCTGAGGCACTTACAAATTTCTCCAACTCTGGGGGAAGAGGCTTGGCTGTTTTGACATTCAGAGCCCCAACCATGACTTGACCTAACAAAAAAGACCAGTTCGTAATCATCAGTTTAGTATTAATAAAGTCAAACCAGGTTAAGCGTATTACAATCCATAGACTTTATTCAGAAGCACCCAACGACTGTTTTCTGTAAAATATGTTTGGAGAAGTAAAAATTCCCTACAATTTTCTATAGCTTGAGGAAGGCTAAATATTTCTAGATGACCGTTCCATTTATGTACAATTTTCGAAGCATATCAAATAAATTCCTTATGATTTTCTAAAGTTCAATTTTTCGCATTTCAGTCCCCAGGTTAGACTATTACTATTAGACTAAGAATCAAGTTCCCCTAGGATGACCGAACAGATGTAAATTTTATAGCGCCGCTTAGAATTCACTGCTAGAGATCTAGAAGTACTCTGGATAGCCTAAAAAGTATTTTCAATGCATTTAGGAGGAAACCGTCGGTGGGTGCCCCTGTTAATTGATGAACTGATTCTTTGACAATATCATTCCTAAGCCGTTTCCGTTATCGACTTTAGTCATTTCTTTATTCCTGCATTCGTTATGCGCTGTAATATCACAAGCGAGGTAATTTATATAATTTCTCCCAGCTCAGTTTTCTGCCGTTCGATCTGTTGTTGGGACTTTAAGAAAGGGGTGGGCGGTCCTTTAGGGTATAGATTTTGTGGTAGCTGCATAAGAAATATGGGGTTAGCCTCCAAAATTTCTCTTTCGCCCGGTCTGGCAGTTCTTGTCCCAGAGGCCGCGATCCCTTTGGTCAGAAGAACGAGAACCGCGCCTGCTAAGCAGGCTGTTTAGGGAATTAAGCCGAAAACTGGAGGAACTTATGTTCCTCCAAAATTTTTTTGAGGGGTTAAAGCGAGTTTAAGCCACGCCCAGAAAGCGACATTCTAGTACTCTTCAATTTAGGGGAGCAAAAAATTCCTGAGGAGCACTTGAACAACATTTAGCTCTGGCTCCTAGGCTTAGGTTAATGATAAATTTCCTTTAGGCTTTTCGTATAAGCTGTCATACCTGGCAGAAGAGGTTGTGGATATTCCACGGCAAAATCTGCTCCGATAATAACCATTTTGGCATCTGCAAGAGCTTCTTCGAAGCTTCTTTCAGGTTTAATATTGTATTTAACCTTTAAGGCGTCCATTTTTCTGTAGCTGAGGAGACTAACTCCGAGTTTAGAGACCAAATATGCTCCTAAATTGAGTACTCTCTCCACAAATGTCATCTCGTTAGAAAATTCGGTGATAAGCTGGGGAACGTACGACACCGGCATCGGAATCATATGGGCGAACCCGCCAAATGGGACATTTGGTGGGTCGGGCAGTATCTCCACCCTTGGAATATCGAACTTCTCTCCGATCAATAAAGCACCATTGCTGATGCCGTCATAAATAATCAAGTCGAAACCCTCTAGTTCCTTTAGGATTTCCGTGCTGTTCAAGATGCTTTCGCATAACGTAGACAATACTTCATTCATTTTCATGAAGAACTGAAAAGTGCGTCCCTCTATATCAAGCCGAATCATCTCCTCCTCGAAGCCAGGTTTGTATGGCACTTGGTAAATCTTGTGGCTCTTGAGTGGCAATCTATCAGTTGTTTTCAACTTACGGGAGGATGGAACAACGAGCGCGACCTAAGATATTGATAATTCAGCAAACAAAACAAGTAAAATACAATCTCCTTCCCACAGCATCTAGAACGTTCCGATACGTAGCGCGTGACCAAGCAGGTCCTTTGGGCACGAGATTAGGTATAATATTGAAGGGAAGGCGCGAATAACGCCAAATTGCTGGCTAAAAAAAAACACTCTTTGGATCGCAGTTTTTAAACCCATTAAACGGCTTTTGCACCTCTTCGTCAATATAGTACCTATATAATACACATGGTAGTGACTAACACTGAATACCGAAGGATTATCATTTGCATTGCATCTGCACGACCACTCCTGACCTGACACAATATCTGTATTCATCATTTGTGCACCTCCCATAATACAACTTGTTTGCACTACCTAATTAAATATGAATATTTTGTAAAAAGCTATTTTAACCGGTTTGATTCCAGCAATGATCCTGAAATGTGGCTCAATATAAAAAAAACACGTAAAACGTGATTTCAAATAAAACGTGACATTGCTTCGTCAATGACGTCACAAAACACGCCTGTTTCCTAAACGGGAAGGGTTGAAAACCTTAATCTTAGGAATTTTCACCACCAAAATGTTACATAAACAGTGTAAATCGTAAATTCGGCCTGTATGATTGGAAATGTTATTTATCCTATCAGATGTTTAAAAAATTAACAAGTCACGTGACCCCTTTCCCTTTATTTACCTATTCCTATGTAACGTAAACATACACACAAAGTGAATTTTTCAGAACCTTTTTAATAGCCTCTGAAATATACCTAAAAAGAACTTAATATCATTTTCCCATTTTAGAATAAATATGTTAACTGTTAATTCTCAATTATAAGTCACGTGACAAAAGCTAAGGCCATCCAATTTTGAAGTTCATTTGCTATCATTGATAGAAGCAAATCGTTCTAAATAGCATTTCATCAAAATATGCATATTTAATTAGATAGTCATGCTAAAGTGCCCCCCCCCCCCGCTCTGCAGTCTTCCGTGCAACCTCAAAAATGTCCAATGCTAATACTAACAGCAGGTGCAAAATGGCATCAGCATCTTTTGAAAAACATCGCTATAAAAAGGTGCTTGGCGAACGTTTTCCTCAGTCCGTCTAAAATTTTCCCTAAATCCCTAAAATTTACTTGCAATCCTTTTATCCCGTTTTAAATTTCCCCTTAAGCCCGAAATACTGCCAAAATCTGATGTCGTATTATACCTAGTCAGCAATCCGTAGTCCACAGTCCACAGTCCACAGTCCACAGTCCACAGTCACAGTCTCCTTTACAATCGCGCAGCCGCCCCGTAGCAAAAGCATTATTTGAGCTGTTTGATTATTTTTGTGCAGTGAAAGATCTATGCTGAAAATGCTGACTAGCAAAAAAAGAACCGGGCAATATCGAGTTTTATTACAATGTGAAATCCGTCACTTTTTAATAATAATTTCAAATATTTAATGAGTTGCCCTCGCGATGGGTCAGTCACGACAACAAGATTTTCAAAAATCGTAAAATCTTTGGAAAATTTTTCATGAATTAACAGCAAAGTTCGCGAAATTCAACTTCTACCTCTAAGCGTGCAACCCTGCCTAATCAAGTTAAAACTTCGAAGGCATTTGTGATTTGATTTCGACATATGAGCCAGCTAGTTGAAATCTACCGAGCTCCCACGAGACCCACGTTAGCCGTTAGGCGTCCGTCTGATATAGAAAATAAGGTTTTTTCTGAGGCTCGCGTCCTTTAAATATAGCACAAAGTGTGGTTCAATTTCGTCCTTGGTTTAAATTTTCTTTCCCTTTGTTTTTGGGTATGGTAATGTATGATAATTGAAACAATGAAAAATAAACTTTAAACCAAGGATAAAATTGAACCACAACATATATATTCTGTATTTATTTTAGTGTACCTCATGGCCGCGAGAGGCCAGTTCTTCCATGATATTTCTCATGTTGATGTATCCAGACCCTCCAACCGCTGCAAAACCGGCTATCTTGGCCGACGAAGCAGAATTAATTGCCAATAACAGCAAAAGTAAAGATAACATCACCATCTTCAGTAGCATGTCACGCTTTGCGTATCGCGTCCCTTTCTTTTTACCTACGTCACGTAATCCTTGGCTGGGACACAATCCCAGGAGAGGCCAGGGGCGGGGAGCGGGAGGCTCCCACACGGGGACGTAGGAGCCCGTCCAAAAAACAGCATTTTCAAAACTCACCCCATTTTGGACGTGACTGAGGCTTTCTTTGACAAGGAGACCATACTCCACTACAGTATGATGTCGTTTTTTTTGTTTTTTCTTTTCCAGTTTTATATACAGACATTAGCCATGCTAGCCTGCAAGGAAAAAAAATCCCCACGCACTCAACCCATACTGCTACGACTGGATTTGATTTGCTACCAGTAATGTAGGAGCTGCTCGTAAGGCCTTTTTTTGTCGCAGAAAACAATAATCATGAATAATTAACACGTAATTGTTTATCATTATTTCTCATTGTTTCTCTTTGTTAAATTAACCTTTCACTAGGAATCAACAAATGCATTAACTCAAAGTTTAGGACGATGTTGGCTTTTAGCATACTTCATCAGTGCTTCATTGAACGGATTATCAAGGGTTGTCCTCTTCAGTTTTTATACACTATATATGGCTAGAAAAAAATAAACCCCTCGGAGGATTCTTTCATAAACATTAGGGCAGGCGTTCTTTTTCCACCGGAAAACATTGAGAAAACAATCTCTCCGACACGTAGGCTCTAACCGTGTATGTGACATTCTTCAAGAGCTGAGAAAGACGTCACGAACCAACTAATCGCCTCCTATAGGTAAAGAAGGATATAGTTAGTCTGGACTCTGGAATAGCTTACTAGGGATATTTTTTGGCCTAGCCTAGAGTCACTCTAGAATAAATGGGTTTCCTTAATGAACCTGAACAGAGTATTGAATTGGCTTCACAAGGGTTCGGCCAGGATGCAGGTGGCAGAAAAAAACCTTTCAGTATCTCCCTAAGGGAAGGGTATAGACCTGAAGTGAGAGATATTTCTGAAAAGAGGAGCCTCTCATGAAAATAAATCCTCTATTTTCCTGCTGGCCTCGGTTTAGTTAACCAAGCAGAATGTTCCCTTTATGGCATCTACAGTATTTCGCCTCAGATTAAAAGAAGTCCTCTAGGGAAACGTCCTTTTCACTTCTATGGATCTTAATGAATTCGAGCCCGACCTGTTGTTCCCGCTTCGTGGCGCGAGTGTGTTAAAGAAAAACAAGAAGAAACGAGAACAGACTATTCAGTACTGTCGCCGGCGGGAAAGACAACAGGATTTCTTAAGACTATCATTCCTTCTTGGCTTTGTCACTGTCCTTCTTACAGCACAAACGACATATGCAGCTGCATGTCAACCTTATCACCATGACAGCCAAGGTTATCATAGCAACAAGGAAAGCTATGACGTCAAGTAGGTAGTACTGATACCAAGGGATGTTAAACACTTGAGCTCTGAGATGCCGGGCTCCACCATGTCTGAGTACATACTCTATCCAATCGCCAGTCTCTTGAAGAGGCGTGCGTTCGCGGTCTTTTATCAGACCAGAAATATGTATCGCTTTGGCTTTGAATCTAAAACGAAAAACAAAAACAACAATTGATAATTCCGCACCAGTTTTTGGCGAAAAAACATTCGTCACTTTAGAAAAGAGAAGAAAACTGGGCCTAGTAAACTTTTGCAAAGGATTCTGGGACTGTTAATAGGGCAAGGAAAAAATTGGCCAATAGCTGAACAACGCGTCCCCAGTAAAGATCTGGGGGCCCGGATCCTCGAAAGATGGTTAAATTTAACCCAGGATTAAGCCAAATCTTAAACAAGGTTTTCTTGTCTAAGAACATCCAACTTGAGCTAACAAAAGACTGTTGAGCCTCTACTCAGAGATAAAGTAATGATAACACAAAATGTTACTCTAAGCAAAACATAGGAAGGATAAATACAAAAACGAAACAAAACTTTAATCCTGGAATAGCGCTAATCGGCCTTTCAGAAACCGGGCCCTGGATAATACGGACCCTTCTGCGACAGTGTGCCCCTTTAGCGACCTAGGAGGAGCATTTTTGGATGAATTGCATAGCTTATAGGGATCCTAGGAGAGAGCTGTTCAATACGCTAAAAAAGAAAACTAAGAATTTTTCTTGACTCTATGACTCCAAGCTCTGCTTTTGAAACGTTGATAAGTATGAAGCAAGAAGAGAAAACGCAAAAAATTGTGGCTAAATATGGATGTGATCTCTTCCGCGAAAGAGAAAGACGCGTTAAATATAACCTTGTCTAGTTGTATAAATTCTACAAATGTACCCCTCTGTAATTATTGCACTAACATCTTTGTTATCGTTGTAAACACATGTGTCTGTAGGCGCTCTGTTGATAATAAAGCAGCTATCCTATCCTATCCTAGCTCTGTTCTGAGGACACTGAATTTCAGTACACAGAAAAAAAGGAAGAACAAATACCTTGGCTCTTTAATGACAAGCTCAATCTTCTCAAACATTTCTTGTGCAGTAAAGTTTTGATAATCCACCCTTAGACCCAACCCAAGGTGTGTAATTTTCTTTGCGTTAGCCGGTTGATCTGAGAACAAGGGAAAGGCCAACAAAGGAACCCCATGATACGTAGACTCGTACACACTGTTGTGTCCCGCGTGGGAGACAAATGCTTTGATGTTCTTGTGACCCAGAAGATCAATCTGAGGTAACCACTTCACTATTTTGATGTTTGGACTGAGAGAGGGAGGGATGTAACCTGTGAATGAAAAGAATGCCAAGATCTGAAACTCCATGGCGTTTTGTGGAGTTAATGCCTTAATTAGATGTAACGAGTTTGGCATGATTAATTACCTTGAAGTTTCCAAACAACTTGCTGTTTGAGCTTTCCAAAAGCTTCAGCTAATGTGTCTACTGTAGCCTGAGAGAGTGTACCAACATTTGATCCAAAGGAAACAATGATGAAACCATTCCCCCCTGAACTTGACACAAATTCCTCTAAATCAGGGGGGAGAGGTTTAGCTTCTTTGACAGTCAGAGGTCCAACCATGACTTGGTCTGCAAATGTGGATGATGTGTAAAAATTATTCTAATGTGCGGATAACTTGTTGTGAGCTGACAAGGGCAGGGGGGAGGAGTAGGGGGGTTTGACGCAAAAACCAACATTTCTAAATTCCAATTCGATCCGGAATGCTCGAGCGTTTAATACATGAGCCCCTGGCTCGGGAGATTGGGCAACCACTCCTCACGCTATCAAGCTTAAATAAAATTAATATAATTTAATTTTTTAATTTAATTTTAATTTTTGACACTTCCATACAAAAAAGGGGATGCTTGTCACCTTGTGTAGGGATAGAAATTGCAGATTTTCATGTAACTTAAGGCGTCCTGGACAGAATGCCAATATTTTCACCCTTAAATTAAAGGTATCGCTTAGTGTTGCACATAAAGAAATACCTAATGAATGAAAATAACAAATGCTGACTAACCCCCTTATATAAAATGTCATCTTGCTAAAAATGTATATCAAATCACATTCTATGACTACATGTACCTGGCAATAAAGGTTGTGGATACTCCACTGCAAAATCTGCAGTCATTATGAGGAGTTGAGTGTCACAAGCAGAATCTCTGAAGTCTATATCAGGTTTGATGTTGTACTTCACCTTAAGAGCATTGAATGGTCTTGTAATTGCGAGATAAACCATGACTTCTCCACCAATATAAGCTCCCAGGCTCACCAATCTTTCAAAAAATGACATTTTATCAGTTAGCCCAACCCAGAGATATGAAGTATATGAGATAGGCCTGGGTGTCCTGTGCAGAAGGTCTCCACTTGGTGGTAACGGCAAAAACTCAACTTTCTGGAGGCCAAGATGTTCGCCAATTAATGGACCACAGAATGCCAAGTTGTCATAGATGATCAAGTCAAACCTCTCAGTTGGTCAAGAACCTCTGAGCTGTTAAGGGCAGCCTCGCACAGACCAACCAGTGTTTCCATAAATTTAAACATGTATTGAAACTGGTGTCCTTGTAGTAGGTACTTATTCATCAAGTCTTCAATCCAGTTAGGTTTGTATGGAACCATGTAAATCTTATGTGGCACTTCTTCACTTGGTTTAACTTTTTGGGAAGATGAAACGACCAATGTGACCTAACATCGGAATTATAGAAGATTCAACTCAACTGAAGGTAGTACATAACAATACCCTTTTTGAATATTTCACAGTAAATCTGATCTCTTGATGGGCGATGCAAGAAGGCTAACTTTAAACATTTTCGCACCAATCTGAAACATTTCATAATGTCTATGAGGTAGTCATGTGGCACTTTTTGTTCTATAGGCCAGAAGCCCCCGGGGGGTTGGTACTCCCTTTTATGGCCTATATGAGGAACTCCACCCAAAAGGGGTACCTTTTCTGCATGAAATGGTATATAGGGATAGGGAAAGGACCTAGAGGCGGAACCTCACCTGTTCAAAATTTTTTCGAGTACCTCCCCCACCCAAGTAGCCTGAAATTCATCCGATTGCCTCGAGTCGTTTTCGACTCGAAGTAATCGGATGAAATTCAGGCTACCACCTGAGGCGAGAAGACACTTTTTACCCTGTCTTTACATTTGTATCATGGTGGCTAGCCTTCTAGCAAGGTCTCCAGCGAGCTCTGGTGGCGGCCCCGGATAGCCTGTTAGCAGGCTACATGGTGACAAGTTTTTTGACCCGTGGAATATGACCTGTGAAGGCGCCAAACAGCTTTTTCAGCGAACTTGGTCATCTATTTAACCTCGATAAGAATGATCGCGCTTCAGGGTTCTCGGCAAATGTCAAGTACTGTATGATGCTATAAAGATATAACAATTATCAAGGATGGAATATTTATTAAATAAGATCAACGAGTCTTAAGGGTAGCCGTGATCGGTTCTTTTGGGGCAGTAGAAGTATCTGTTAGTATTAAAGGCTATTTGTTTAAAATACCTCGTGGCCTCTAGAAGCCAATTCTTCAAGTACAAGCTTTGTATTAATATACTGTGAGCCTCCAATCATATGAAAGCCAGCAATCCGTGCCGATGAAACAGAGCTGGCTGCCAGCATCAGCAAAAACAACCACGATAATGCCATAAAAGCTTTCCGTGTCTCTGAACATGTGTTGTAGGTCTTCTTTATAGCTGCCAGCGTCACGCAATGCTCCTCTCCCCATTGCGTGACTCGGTTTCGACAATGCTTTTTTGCGTGCCTGTGTGCACGTTGTCATGCTGTAACTGGCGTAATGCCAGACGGTAGGGCAATCAATCTACTTACGATAACATGCTTACTGGTCAGGAACTCATATGATGAACCAGGAGCCGGTCTATTCAAACGCAGCATCAACTCAAATAGTAGTCAGCATAAAATTTTGCTCTTCCAGCGCGAAACATGCTGTTCACGAGTAATACTACCTTTTGTTTGAAACGACAAAACCAGAGGATTAACGGGAGCCTGGGCCAATGCTTACCCACCCTTCATTTGTTGCGTGGGAAAAATAAATTAAAAAGCACGCACGTTATCACCACTCCTAGGGGCGGATTCGCTGCATTCACATTCCCATAATACACCTTGGTTACCCCCCAAAAGTTTTGCACAAGCATTGTTTCCAATTTCTCTTGGGATTTACAATCCTCCCAAGAGAACTTGAAAACAATACTTATGCAATTTTTTTTTTTTGCGAGGGGGGGTGGGGTGGTAAATAAGGTGTGTTAGGTTAATTGTGAAAGTAGTGAAAGAAGACATTTTTGATTGGGGGGGAGGGGTGGTCCAAACTTTGGTTTAGAAAGGACTGTTGAACTTTTGCGGGGGCAAATTACTTCTGACAGAGAAGACGACATGTTTCTCAATTTGTGAACGCCGGTTGCCGTCAGCGCGGGAAATACTGCTTTGCGAGGAGAGGCGAACAGATCATAGGAGGGTACTCAAAAACAATATATTACATTTTTGAATATCCCTGGAATTTAGTTTAGTGGGAAAATACAAGGCGCGTTTCATTATAAAAATCAGCTAGTAAGAAAGTGATATATGATCCTGTTAATGTAAAAATTTCGGTCTCAATCAAGCGTCAGGCCTGATAGGTGGGGGGGGGGGAGGGGTTCAAGCCCTCCCGGACCCTCCCCCTGGATCCACCACTGGATAAAGACCCTGAATTAAGGGGGTGTTTTAAAAAACAAAGTGGGGCCGCTCCCGAAAATGATAGTATTTCTCCTCAGATTAATTTAGCTCTCTATATAAAAGTCCTAACCCTTTTTACTTCCATCGATCTTAATGAATTCAAGCCCGACATGTTGTTTCCGCTTCGTAGCACAGGTAATAACCCTTTACTTGCTAGGATTGATCAACGTTTATTTTCTCCTCACAACATCAATATGTAGTCTAGAGAAAACGTTTTGAAAATAGATCGAATGATTATGTTTTGATCTTTTTACAAGTTCTCACAATTTCTTATTTAAAGAAGAAATGTAGGGAGATCGGTTTAGAGAATTTGTATGTAGATATTAGGACTCATAGAAAAAACAAGAGAGAGAAGCAATGTATTCTTTGCTTTCCACCGGTTAAAAAGAGAATAGGATTCTAAGACTTGAATGCAGTAAACAAAACAACTGAAGAACTCAGTTTTCTTTGAGTGACAGTACAACTACCGAACTGGTTTTCGTTTCATGTGTTCATTCCTCCTTCGCTTTGTTGCTGTCCTTCTGGCAGCAAAAACGACATAGGCAGCTACATATCAACCTTATTACCATGACAACAAAGGTCACCATGGCAATAAGAAAAGCTATGACGTCAAGTAGGTAGTACTGATACCAAGGGATGTTAAACACTTGAGCTCTGAGATGCCGGGCTCCACCATGTCTGAGTACATACTCCATCCAATCACAAGTCTCTTGAAGAGGGGAGCGTCGACGATCTTTTAACAGACTGGAGACGCGCATGGCACTTTGCTTGAATCTGGAAAATACAGCCACGCTAATCAACCACGTCTCCAGGGATTTTTAAGGGAAAGACCCTAGGGACGAGGTTACCACACTTGATTTTGACGTACTTTGACACTCCAACAGTTAGCTGCAAAACACCCTTAATTTTGCGTTGGTATTAGGGAGTGTAAGCAGCGAAGTTTCTGAGCGAGGCACGTAAACCCGGAAGTGAGACTTTTTCTCATTTAATACGCCTTGACGCGACCAAATTTGTATTTCTTAGTGTCTTTACTCTTAAAGAGACGATTTGCCCAAGAATTTGGTCAAAATCACCGCGGAATATTGCAAAAAGTCCGCTTCCGGTGAACGTGCGTCGCTCAAAACGTGGAGACTGGGCGAGACGGTTAGTTTCTAGTCTCACCCGGTTCAAACTACCGCTGGGCATGTGAGCCCCGGCCTAGCGAGCCGCGATTTCGAAAAAAAAATTGAACCGTTTTGCACTTAAAAACGCTTATACAGTAGAAAAAAATGAAACCAGAAATCACCTTGGTTCTCTTACGACCAGCTCGATTGTTTCAACAAGTTGTTGCAGGGTAGTACTTTTATGATTCACTGTCAAACCAAGACCAAAGTGTTCCGCTTTTTTGGCATTCGCAAACTGGTCTGCGAACAATGGAACTGCTACCACAGGAACCCCATGATATGCAGACTCATAAAGGCTGTTGTGTCCTACATGAGTCACAAAAGCTTTGATGTCCTTGTGACCAAGAAGATCATTCTGAGGTAACCAGTCCACTACTTTAATGTTTGGACTGAGAAATGAAGGTACGTAACCTGAAAGAGTTGATGAAGTTTTATCTGATATCAGTATGAAACCCGACAATCTAAGGATTTTGGTAAACCTGGCTATTTGGGTGATCCAGAAACCTTAATTCACCCCAATGGTCAATTATCGCGAAGACGTAACGACGTTCTAACTTATCGAAGCTTTTCATTGAAACTATGGATGAAACCTTATGGTGTGACCATTTAACTGAAAGCTAGTGAGCAGTACTTTCCCGAGGTACATATTCATATTCAGGTTCATATTCTGAAGCGATGAAACTGAAAACTCTTCGTCAGGACTACTACTTTCATACGCTTCCATTTAAAATCTGGGATCTTTTACAATCCCTCTAGAGAGCGGACGACTTAACAATGAAGTATTTAATTTCCTTTTATTAGTGACAGTACCTTTGAGTCTCCACACAACTCGTTGTTTAAGTTTCCCAAACACTAAAGCTAACATGTCCACTTCCGCTTCAGACAGAGGAGAAGCTACGTTCGTTCCAAAGGAAGCGATGATAAAACCTTGCCCCCCTGAACTACTAATAAATTCGTCCAAATCACGGGGGATAGCCTTAGCATCATGGACACTCAATGGTCCAACCATAACTTGACCTGTTAGATAAAAAGCAAAAAGATGGCGCTTCAACGTCAGCTTTTTCAATCACCTGCCTTAAAGGCAGCTAAATTATTGTATCCGTCACCTTAGTTGGAAAATCAAAACCAGTATTGAGTGGCGGCACGTGCAAGTTCATGATAACCAAATGCATTAATCTGTGTTACTGTATAATCTGGTTAAAATCATGACCGCTTTTTAGACGTTAAATTTTTTATTACTTGCTATGTCTTTCCTATTACTTTTGTGGCCTTAAATTTGACGGGGGGGCGGGGGGCGTAGCGCCAAATAGAGTTTCCTCATTGCTTATTAATCATAATCATTTTTTGAATACCTGGTAAGAGAGGCAGTGGATACTCCAATGCGAAGTCTGCAGTAATTAGCACTAGTTCTGCGTCACCAGCAGCTTCTTGGAAACTTCTTTCAGGTTTAATGTTGTACTCGATCTTAAGACTATTCATTGTTCTGTCAGTTACAATACTCAAGGCTAGTTTGCCAACAAAGTAGGCTGCCAAATTTAACACCCGTTGTATAAAAGTCATCTTGTCAGTGAAATCCGCTTTGCTAAGCTGTGGAACGTAGGACACAGGCATAGGGGTCATGTGGTAAACGTTGAATATAATATTTGGCGGATAAGGGAAAATTTCCACTCTTGGAATGTCAAGGAATTCTCCGACCAAAGAAGCGCAATTTATAACAGCAAAGTGAATGATCAGGTCGTAATTCTTTAGTTCATCAAGCATGTCTGTACTGTTTAAAGCACCTCCGCACAAGCCGTTTATTATCTTAGGCGTTCTCGTGAACAACTCGAAATTGCGCCCTTCTATTTCGAGTCGTAACCAGTCGTCAAGGAAGTCAGGATTGAATGGTACATGGTAAATTATGTGTCGTATCTTTTCACTGGGTTTGATTTGTTGGGTAGATGGAGAAACCAATGCGACCTAAAGTACAGAAATGCAAAATTAGACAACGTGGAGAAGTAGTGCAAAAAGGCGAGAGAGCTTACGATACAGGCACAGCGACCCAATTACAAGTTTTTAACTATTACATCAATTCACTCGGTTATTCAAAAGTGGGGGAATGATAAAGTTGGAGTTGAATTCAGAGGGGATCTTCTCCGTCACAGCCGTTTTTGCTGCGTCACACAACCCTCCTCGACGAGACAAAAGTTGGCTGCGAGGGAGACTCGAGGGAATGCGGGGCGGAAACTGAAAAAAATGTTCTCTGACAGGACATGCGCTAACTGATCCTTACTGGCATTGAATAGTCTGTACCCCAGTAACCATTGTCCATTAAAAACGACGTGACATGCTTGCATGCAAAACAAAACCATTCATCACGGCAGTCACGATTTGTAGCGTTCTGCACGCGCACTTTTTTAAACACGTGGCCTGAGGAACGGGGTGCGCGCAATGGAAAAGCAACCATATTACTTCCAAGCGTCTGGTATGCAGGCTACAGTGTTAGATCTGCGTAGCTGGCGGGATTAGTGGGACCCCGGGCAAAGGAATCCCGCCAGCTCCGCCGGCTAGCAACTTTTAAGATTGGTTCGGTGGCCACGGGGATAGTCTTCTTTTTCAGATATGGTTCAGGTAATAATACCGTAAAATTCCGAAAATAAGCCCCTCCAAATATAAGCCCCCCAAACTCTTAACGCAAAAAATCCCTCTGTTACATCGCCCCTCCGAATATAAGCCCCCTGATGGTCTTGTACTTGGAAATTGCCCTCAAATACAAATTAAAACAAAGCAAAAACGGTAAATTCCCTTCCAACTATAAGCTAGCCCAATCGATTGTGCAACGCAATTTTCCCCCCGTACATAAGCCCCTCCGAATATAAGACCCTCCAAAAATAAGCCCCTCAAAAAGAGCCTTTGAAAAATATAAGCCCGGTGCTTATTTCCGGAATTTTACGGTATTGCAATTGGCAAGAAACTAGCCAAGATTAAGCACGCACATGTCATAACAGAATTACCATATTAAGATGAAATTTTTAAAATGGCAGTTGTTTTAATTTATGCAAATTTGTGACTTTTAAATTGAATGTTTACATAACAAAAGCGATAGTCTCGGTTATTATATAAAAGTTTTGAGGTTAAAAAAAAAAGAAAGGAAAAAAAGTCGGAGGTAAAGGCCAATAGCAAGTATCGAACTCGGTACCTTTACTCCGAAGGTTACGCATTAACGCCGTGGGCTATGAGGACAATAGAAATGCCCTTCCAGACAGACGAACCGGACTTTGACAATGCATACTGGCCTTCAGCCAGTGGCACAAAAGTGCGTGCACCAAATCACAAATCGCGTGAAGTGAAATGTAAACAAGACTATATCATTGGCTCGTTGCTTTCTGTATGTTTTTAGCAAGTTAAACATATTTGGCATATCAACTGCTATCA